TTGTCATCATTGTGTATATGGACTTACTTGGAAAATGACAATTATGTTACAGTGCATTAAATTAAATTATTAAAATTAAAATTAAAATGAAGAGTATTAAATTTTATGAAGAGTTTTTTTAAAAAAAAAACAGAGAGAAGATTTTGAATTGTATGATACTAAATTAAGATTATGTAATAATGTATCATGATTTTCTTTAAACCTTGTAATTTTAAATAGTTTCAAATAGGATATTAAAATTTTAAAAAATTAAGAAAAAAAAAACATATAAATTAGATTCAGGATTTTCACAAAAGGGAGTTTGAATAATAATAAAAAAATTTATAAGTTAGTCAACCTTTAATTTTGTGTTTAGGAAATTCAAAATTTATATATATCCAATAAAATAGAAGAAGAAAAAAACACATTATATATAGAGTATAATTATTTGTCAAGGAGATTCAAATAAATACTCTCTCGCCCTCCTAAATCCACTCCAACTATACATTTCTATACATACCTATACCTTATATATATATATATATATTCTCGAAATATATAAATAGTATATGTTTCGTTCATGTTGATAAACTAGATCGCCGAAAAATACATTTTACATAAATTTTCCTAAATTAAAAAAGTAATATGCTGCTAAAAGTAGGAACAAAGGCTCATGGGTTAGACTAGTTTGAGTTGTTGCTGTCGGGTTTAATTGAAATGTGTTTTAATATCAACCACTCAAACAAAATTATCTCAATTTGAGAAAAGTGTTTTTGGTTTTTGCCAAAATTTGTTTTCTTTTCACGTATTGTAAACATGAATCCTTTCGAGTAAATTATATATCAAAAGACTTGAAACATTGAGAGGATTTTATATTTAAAATTCAGAATTGTTTAAATGAGATTTTGAGTTGGTCATAATTGAATATCAATGTATAGTTAACTATATTCAGTTTTTTCAGTGTATCATAATGTATAACTCATGTATAAATAAGGTACATTCAACTTTTTGAGTAGATTATAATGGTTAGAACCCGAGACCTCTAGTTAAAATAGAAACAATTTCATTCACTGCACTACATCTTTTGATAGCGTAAAAGAATTATTATTTTTACCATACATTCACTTAATTGCATTTGGTACGTTATACGTATAAATATTTCAACGGTTGATTGTACTTTTATTGGCAACCTATTTAATTGACAATAAAATCATGATCCACTTGGGCAGGTGGATTTGAGTGGATAAAAAATCTTATTGGATAAAACATCATTGTCTTATTAATTCTCTTTTGAAAAAGTCTTCTCTTTTAAATAAATAAATAATTCTCATCAAACCTATAAAATGCCTATAAATATTGACCACCCTATGCTACTTATAATGTAGGTTATTGGATTAATCTTTTGATCAAATGATTTAATTTTGTCTTTAATGTTTGGTGCCTTTGGAAATTTTTCAAATGAAAAATCATTCTAAGCCAAAAGATATATTGGACTTTGTTACAAGTGTTAATGGTTCCATCATGGCATCATGAGAGATATAATTACTTGGACTAAATTTTTTTTAATTTAATTTTTCGATTGATTGATTTTTTTAATGGACGATATTTCTTTTACGATGAAGACATTAAAAAGGATGTTAGTTCTTCAATAGAATCAAGTCTTCTCCTGATTGAAGAAGATCCATGAAATAGATTTAGGATCGAAAGAGTTTTGGATCAATTTAAATTAGTCAAAAGTAAAAATTACTAAAAATAATTGCTCGACTAAATAAATTCGCCTCTGATTGAATTGACGAAAACGCGACTAGTTAGAAAACTATGCATGACACTGTGATCATTTGGGTGAACTTTCATCCTACAAGCAAAGAAAACAACACTCTTTTGTGTGTGAAAAATTGCAAGAGTTATAAAAGGGGTTGTTTAGTAGTCGGTTAAAGTTGTGTGTGTATTCGTAATGTAGATATTACCAGATACATTAGCTAAGCGAGGATCCAAGCTGACAAACTATGACAAGGCTATCTTTTTGCAATCTCTGCCGGAATATATTAAAGACCAGCTTGATAAAGACAAGAACATAGATATCTCTATTAGACTAATTAGACCATCTATGTGTAATAAGTTAGCCCAGTTTGGTAACCTCCTTGTAACTACTAGCCCACCAAGGGAGTATGTTCTAGCTAACTCTTCTATAATTCCGTAGCATATATATATATATATATATATATATACATATATTATCCTTTCAACCATAATAAATATATAAAGGACAAAATGGAATTATTATTTTTTAGAGAAAAATTAATTGTTTGTCTTAATTTAACCTGTCAAGAAATTTAAGAAAGTTGTGAATTTTTTTGATGTTGTGGTTTTAAGTTAAGGATATGTACTAAAATACACTCTAAATCTTGTGGTTTTAAACATGTCACGTGAGATGTTAAAATTAAAAAGTTGTCAAATTAAGAAAGCGACATTTTATTTTAAACAAACTCAAAAATTATAAGAGAAATACATGTCTTATGTTTTCCTTATTTCTAATATTCCCTTCTATTTCTAAAAACCTCTAAAATCCCTTACTTTTCTCCTGATTCTAAATTATTTTATAATGTATCCAAGCTAATTTTTAATGTATCCGAGTTACATATTATGTATCCGATTTATTTTATAATGTATCCGAGCTACATATTAGTTGTGAAACTAAAAAAAAAACAGATAGTTTAAGTGTGTTTTGATAATTCTACTCCAAGTTTAAATGTGACAAAAAAATGAACAGGGTGAATATTAATTAAAAGATAATCAAATTTCATTGACTAAATAATATATTTATTTTTTCTTTTCGTTTAATAAATTTATGATCAAATATAAACTTGATAAATACAACAATTAATATGAGACTAAAGAAATACGTGGCGCTATTAGGATCTTTCAAATATATGTGGAAGTTCTTTAAATTGGAAGAGTCAAAAATACTTAATGGCGATAGGCTAGAGCACGTGAAGAAACGTTATCAGAGATGACATGGCAAATTTCTATTCGCTGTAAGACCCTTTAATTTTAGATTTTGTACGGACAATCTATTGAAACTCTGAGAGAGCCAGGAATTAAAGACTAAAATTTCATATCTGTAATTAATGCTTTAAGTAGTCAATGTTAGATACCTATGTTTTACGTTCTACATGACATTTTTAAATAATTGAGTCGAAAATAAATAACAAATAACAAAGAAAGATATGAATATGTTTGCGATGGAGAATGGAAACAGAGAGTCACTCCCATAACAAATGAATGGGGCTCTTAATCCTGATCGAACCAGAGATTTCGATAATTTGAGAAATCGACAGAAAGAGATGGATTGAATGCTGAAATCTCTCAAAAAATCTTGACTTTTTTGAGGCAGGGCTTCAATAAGAAGGAAGAGCGGGATGCGGCATTACTAGTACTAACTGAAATGAAATGGAATGATTGAGAATATCAACATATCCTACAAACCTTTGTGGGATAGAATAATTATTTTCGATAGAAGGGTTGCAAAAAGAAAATATGACAACAAAATATCAATCTACAAAGCAAAATGAAATACTCCACTAATAGATAGTAGAAACAGTACATAAAAGAACAAGAAACTACGTGATTACTAAATGTTATGATTCCTTTGATCCATTTAATGTGATACGTTTTTCCATTTTAGTTTGTCCCCAAAATAATTTAATTTTAATTTTTTTTCTTATACCCTTAATAATTTGATTTACAGCTACACACAAATATCTAAAAATTATTTTAAATTATAAATTTCAAAATTATGGTATCAAATCAAATGACACCAGATAAAATGTGACGAAGAGAGTATAAGTTATGAGGAAATTGGTATATAGCATACTAATATTCGCATTATTAATACTTATATAATTTTTTTGTTACACGTAGTAAAGTTTACCAAAAGAAGAAAAAGACACAAGTGGTGTTCTTTCCTTAATAGTTTTATGTCTTTTTTATTTTTATATCCATTGATTGCAACTCAAAAAGGAAAGATAATAGTATTAGAAAAGTCTTTGAGAAATCAATGCTCTTCATTTTTCCTTTTTTTTTTTTCATAGTCAACAATAATTTTCTTAACTAGGGTTTCTATAACAAAACTATTTGTAATTAGAAAACTATTACAAAGTTTTCTAATTACTTTTCTCTTCATCTTTCAGATCTGAAAAACCATAAAGTTTTTATTTTTAGGGGTTATATCCACTTCAAGATTTAGAATCTTTCTATTTTTGGAAACTTCTCATGAATTGGTAGGATTTCTTGATTTGGAGTTGTGTTATTTTGTCTTCAAAAAAGTTGACCATTTTAAGTGATTAGTCATATTCATGATTTGTTTGTTCTATTTTTGGAAACTTGTCATGGATTGCTAGGATTTCTTGATTTGGTTGTATTAATTTGTCTTAAAAAAATTTGACCTTTTTAATTGATTGTTCATAGTCATGATTTTCTTGTCTAAAATCTTGGTTTAGCAACCTTTTTATTTTTGGAAACTTTCTCATGAATTGGTAGGATTTCTTGATTTGGTTGTATTGTTTTCTCTTAAAAAAAGTTGATTCATATTCAGGATTTGCTTGTATCAAATCTTGATTTAGAGACCTTTCTATTTTTGAAAACTTTCACATGAGTTGCTTAGCTACTTGACAGTAAAGAGAGGGGGCGTTCAACCACTTGATTACAAAAAGGCAACAAGGTTCTCCCTTTCGGACTGATTATAACAAGGGATTTCTTGATTTGGTTGACTTACAAATTGACCCTTTTAAAGAGATTATTCATATCCATCATTTTCTTGTCTCAAATCTTGATTTAGAGACTTTCAATTATTGAAAACTTCCCATGAATTGTTATGATTTCTTGATTTGGTTGACTTAAAAAGTGTTGAGTACCCTTTTAAGAGATTATTGGTATAGTCTCTAATCTTGATTATTTCTTCTTTATAACTTGTTGATTTTATTAATGGAAGGTGGAAAGAGACACTTCTGAACTATTTCTAATACGTTAAAGGCATTTTCTCGCGAACAAGAGAATGGTGAGGGGGAAAACTGAGATAAAAAGGATTGAAAATACAGCAAGTAGACAAGTGACTTTCTCAAAAAGAAGAGGTGGACTACTTAAAAAGGCATTTGAACTCTCAGTTCTTTGTGATGCTGAAGTTAGTCTTATCATTTTTTCTCAAAAAGGAAAGCTTTTTGAGTTTTCAAGTTCAAGGTACACTCTTATATTCATCTCTTAATTTATTAATTGCTATAAGTATCATTTTTTTTATAAATAATATTATTAATTACTCCTTTTTCAACTTTTATTTTTTAACTACTATATATATTATACATCATTAATCCTAATATAACTGGCCTTTAGGATTTGATGTAACAAGTATCAAGTACAATGATCACAACAGCTCATATTGATAGTGTAAAAGGGACCCTTTACCTTCTGGTTTCTACTAAATAATATATACTCCCTTAGTTTAGAAAAAAAAAATGAATTCCTTTCCTTTTTAGTCTATTTTAAAAAGAATGATTTTTTTTTTGGTAACATTTTAGTTTTAGCATTTCACGTGACATGTTTAAGGTCATAAGATTAAATGACAATTTTGTACATTTGACATAACTTTAATTTAGGATCACAAGATTTAAAAGTTTTTTTTATTTTTTTAAATTCCGTGTCAAGTCAAACTAAATCATTTTTTGTGAAATAGAGGAAGTAATAATTTCCCCCCTTTTTTTGTGAGTCCAATTAATAATCTATCTTCTAAATACAATTATAACATATTCAGTATAATCTTGTAAATAGAACGTCAATAGGATACTGTATACACAACTTTGTCCCTGTATAAATTTAGTGGCAAAACTAGGAATTATGTTTAGTGTATTGATCAAACTTTTATTTATAATTCTAAGTTTAATTTACATAAATTCAAAAGTGTTAAGAGTTAATTACATTATTTCTCTATATTTTTTTCAAATTATAAAAATACCTTAAAATATATGTATTACATATACATCACTTGACTTCTGAATACATCAATACGGGAGAAATGTATCTGAGAGGGAAGAGATGTATGATAGAGGGGATATAACATTCGGATAGATAGAGGAGAGATGTATCAGAGAGGGGAATAGTGATGTATCAGCGAGAGGGGAATGATGTGGAATTTTTGAAGTTTGCTTAAATGGTAGGGATAAAATAAGATGCGTGTTTAAGTAATTTTTCTAATTCGAAATAGTTATTTTTGACCTATATATACATTATTATTTTCTATATTCACAATATAATTTTTGACTGAGGGCATGTCTATGACCACCCTTGGGTCAATGTAATTATGCCATTACGTAGCTACATTATGAAGATATATAATTAAAGACTGTTTTTAATAGATTTTCGATTCAAGTAAAACATACTCCCTCCGTCCCTTTTTAGTTGTCCACTTTAGAAATGGCACACAGATTAAGACAACAATGATTAGCACAGTGAAGTTACAATTTTACCCTTGTGACAACTTTTCACTTCAAAATTACAACCACTTATTTGAATTAAAGTGAAATAATTGGAGGGAAACAACATACACTTTTACAATTTTCAAGAAATGTAAATAAGGGTATAATAGGAAAAAATTTGTTGTCCTTTCTTGATTTGTCAAAATGGACAACTAAATAGGGACAACTAAAAAAGGAAATATGGACAAGTAAATAGGGACGGAGGGAGTATTATATATTAACAAGTAGTATTGACGATAGTACATGAGGTATTTATAATATAAGTACATCATATATTATATATATAAATTCTTGATTAAGCTGTAACATGTACAATTTCTTGACTATTTTATGTAAGATATGTACTGGCAAACTACTCTTCAAACAAGAAAGTAAAATTTTTGAAGTATGTGACAAGATGCTACTTGTGGCTTGAATTCTTTTTGGAATATAATATGAAGGCAAATTGTACTTGCTACCAATAGTCATTTCCAATACCCCACACAACTTTTTGCCTGTTTATAACTCAAAAGGGTTCGTTTCGTTTGATTACAAGTTTATGATGTGATTAATTAAAATAGAATAAATTATGTTGAAATAAGTTGTGATGTGATTAATTATGTTGAGATTATTTTTTATTGAATTTTTGGTTTATTGTATACAAAATAATATGCATGACATAAATTTTAAGATTAAGTTGTTTATTTACATTATAGTGTTGTATGTATTTAAAAATAAAACTTTCTTCTTATTTAGCTTAAAAATAGAATTTTCATCTTAAGTTTGTTAAAGTAAAAGAGGATTTATGAGAAATCAAAATATAAATAAACATAAAAATTACTCAAGTAAATTCACAAATAACAATTATATGTATTTAGTGTAATATTTTAATAGAAAAATATGAAGAATTATCATAAAAATAAGGTGTAGTGAAGATTGGGAATGTGTTATATACGTGAAATTAAAAATAATATAAATATAAATGAATGTGAAAAGTGAGATATAAAGAGGATTTTAGGGATATGTTTATCATTTTTACCTATTTTATCCTGGAATAAGTGAATCTCGAGATTTTCTACCATATAAGGGGAGGGATATATATAACTTATCCCGTGACAAGTTATATGTTGGATTTGCCAACCAATCAACAAATTAAGTGACATCATAATTTAATCTCATAATTATTTGGTGTTATCATTCACAGATAACCCCTTAGTGCTAAACCCTAGTGAAAATCAACTTCTGCTAATTATCTTTCCTTTTATTAGGTCCTCTAGCTAGTTTTAGCAAATAGAAAGAGTCAAGTTCTTTCCGTCTCAATTTATTTGATATTATTTAATTAATTATAAAATTTCTTCTTTTTTTGAAATTTATGATTTAAAATAAATCTTAAAGATAATTGAAGAATTTTAAAGATGAGTTATTTCTAATTAGAATTTGTGTGACATTATTTTCAGGACAGATAAAAGAAAAGGTGTGCAATCTAATTTGGGAGGGAGGGACTAGTAACCTTTATATACGTAGCTCAGGCTATAATTAAGAAGTTTGATTAAATAATTTGAAAAACAGAAACATAGTCTGTGATAAGAAATCAAGGACGGCTCAACATGCGTGAAGGCTTAAAGCGAAATCTTCAGTAGAGGCCTAAAATCTAAATATGTCTCTAAAATCTAAACAAATTATATATGTTTGAGTCCAGAGCCAAAAGGGTTAAAAAAATTTGCAAAAATTTCAAAAGGACAATAAAATTCATTTTAGAACCAAAAGAACAACTTTATAACGATTGAACTAACGTCGTTGAAATTAGGTTGACAGCTGCAAGGCGCGGAATTCTATGTGCCTTGCAAGGCGCCGCCACCATGCGCCTTACAAGGCTTTGACGGTCTGCGACCTGCTGTCAAATTAAAAACAAAAATTCCCATTCATTGTCCAAGTCTCCAAAATTATCAAAAATACTCTCAATTAATCTCAATATTTACACCTTCGACCTTCCCATTCATTGTCTATGTCAACCAAGGACAATTTTGTCATTTTAAAGAACTCCATTGATAAAAAAAAAGTCCAAAACCTTGAAATCGTAAGTTCGACTATAATAATTTATCGTAAAAAAAAAGGTTTTGGACTTTTTTTTAATCAGTGGTGGAGTTTATTAAAATGACAAAATTGTCCTTGATTGACATGTACAATGAATAAGAAGAGGTGTAAATATTGAGTTTAATTGAGAGTATTTTTGGTAGTTCTGGAAACTTGGACAATTAAAGGGATTTTTTAAAAATTTGACAGCAGGTCGGAGAATACTTGCGCCTTGCAAGGGCGCATGACGGCTGCATCTTGCAAGGTGCATGGAATTCCGCGCCTTGAGGCTGTCAACCTAATTTCAACCGTTGAAAAGTTTCTCTTTTGGTTCTAAAATGAATTTTATTGCGCTTTTGGAATTTTTGACAATATTTTTTTACCCTTTTGGCTCCGGACTCACATATATTTTATTTAAAATTTACTTTTCAATTGTTACCTTCTTAAATTTTTTTTTTAACTTTTCTTAATACTTTCTAGATGCAAATTAATTACTTAATGTTTTTTTTAATAAATGAGTTGTTCAATAATTAATGTTAGGTAGGATTTCAACGTTGAAAATCACTCTTTTACTAAAATAATCATTATATGAATTGTTTACATAATTCTCTAAGTAACAAATTTAAAACAGAAATAAGTGTTAGAAGCATATAATCTAATTCAAAAAGTTGATAACTTGATTCCACCTTATTAATATGCTTGTTTTAATCTTGAAACTTTAAGAAGATATAAGAAAATTATAATTCACTTTGTTCAACACTTTTTGACTATTAATTCCTATTTTTGATAGAGAATTAATTTGACTTATCAAAAACTTGAAAAAGAAAAGTACAAAAGCAATTAAAAAGAATAAAATATTGAGAATGTTAGCACAAAAAATGTACGAAGGTAAACAATATTTTCTTGATTTCTTCTATTTGAATGAGGTGAAAGAGAATAAAATAATATAATTTTTATTTTTATATATATATATATATATATATATATATATATATATATATATTAAATTTTTCTATAAAAAAATTACATATAATTTATTTTTAAAAGTTTGAGGCCCCCAAAAATTGGGGGCCTAAGGCATATGCCTTATTTTTATCGTATAGAGTTGCCCCGATAAGAAATCCTTGTACTATCTTTGACAGATCAAAAGAAAACTACAAAGTTCTCTTATCCTAAATACTCGTTCTTCCTTCATGGATTCCTCTCTTTAGTTAAATTTTTCGATCTTGTTAACGACTTTACAAGCTCTAGATTGTTAACTAGGATCGAAAGATTTAACTAAAGAAGAGGAAGCATAAAAGAAGAAAGAAGATTTGGGATAATAGAACTTTGTAATGAAAAGAACCAAAATTAGCTTGAATTGATTACAAAAGCCTAATGCCGCCCCTATTTATACACGTTTACAGATGCTTCTAGATATATACAAGAAATTTTTTGATAACTTTATCCTTCAACCATCTTAAGAAGATTCTAGAATTTTTAAATTTATCTTTGATAAATATAAAAAAAAATTCTTGTATTATCTTTCAACCATCTTAAGAAGATTCTAGAATTTTTAAATCTATCTTTGATAAATATCTAAGATATTACAGTCGATCATTCGAGAAGCTTCCTAACAAATCTAAGGTTTTTTGTCGTTTCAAAAAATTAACTTTAGCT